GCCTGAACTCTTCCACTTGGACCACTCTGCAAAGAGAAGAATATTCTCATCGTGCCACCTGTTCCTTCCTAGTCTACTTTTACAGTTTCAAGATATTTTATTTTGGCTATTCCTAGGCAGGAGGCTTCAGGCTGCTAGCGGTCTATGGATCATCTTTTAAGCATAGTCTTAGTGTACGCTGACATTTATTCTGGTATAGAAGCCATGCTTGTCAACACTACCTTTCAATTTCCACTGAGAAAAAATGTCTTCATATCAGTAAAATGTGCCCTCTGTTTTATAGGTGAGCTCTTCCCATGCAAAGATTTTAAAATGGCTTCAAGAGGAACAACAGAGACTAGTAAACTAAAACAGAACTTGGAAGAGCAGTTGGACAGATTAATGCAGCAGCTGCAAGACCTGGAGGAATGCAGGTAATAAAAGGCAGTGTCTCCCTTTTAAGTGCAAATATGTTTTCCGGTAGAATCCTCGCTGGAGCCTTGTGTATAAAGCAGCCCAGGAAGCCCAGAAGAAACAATGCAGGACAAATTCAAGTGAATGTTTCGCTTCCCTTATGCAAATAAAAGAAAAAGTGGAGGAGGCTAGGAATGTTCTTTACTATCATCTTGGAGATTTCAAACTCATGAATAAAATATGGACTTAAGATGATGCATCTTTTTCCAGTTAATGCAAAATGCAGACTCTTAGTGTTTGCTGTCTTTCAAAAATTATGTAGTTCTTTATACCTATCCTTAGTTTTAATCAGATGTTTGGTTGTGTGCATACTTTGCCATGCATTCAAATGGACTTTGTGATGTCCTTGTGTATTAACTCTTAATGAATTTATAAAGATTAGATGGAGAAAGTCTGTTGGGTCCATGCCAGTTCAGGAATGTTTTCTGCAGTGTGTTTCTGATGTTTTCTCTCTCAGTAGTTCTCAGTAGCCGTAACAATATGGCTTTACTGTTTCCTTTCAGGAGCCATTCAATAGACCAGTATGTTAACGTCATTCAGACTAACACAGCTAAGTCTTTGTGCCTTGATATAGCCAATGAAATACTAGAGAGCCACCTGGAACATGCTTTCCCAGGTGACAGGTACACCTGTGTATATTTAGGAGCTAGTGACTTGCCAAGCCACTTGAAATGTTTTGTGTTCTCCTCCATGGTCTACTTAGCCAACTCCAGGCATGTCACTGATAGGCCCTAGAGCAGAGTTAGGCAAAAATAAGGCCTGTCAACTGATTGGATCGAACCCATGGGTGGATGCCCACCAGTTGATTGTATCAAGCTCTTGGCTACCCCTGTGGCACTCTGCATGGGGCTGAGCCCCACCCACTCCCTCTCAGGGGAGCCCCAGGCCCTGCCAACGTGCACCGCTTCACAGTGGGGCTGCTCTTGGTGTGGTTGCAGCTGCCAGTGTACTGCTCAGCTCCCCCTGCCTCCAGCAGCTCTACATTTTCCTGTTTTGGTTTGTACTGCTCTGAGCAGCAGATAGTGTGGGAAAGTGATGACAGCTGAGAGGATGTGTTCTGGGCACCAAATGCCAGGCCAGGTCAGGGGGAAGCTGCAGTTGGGAGACTCCTGCCCCAGGGCATGGGGCTCCAGCTCCAGCTCCTGGCCGTTTGCCACCCACTCCACACCCCCAGGCACGTTGAGCAGCCACAAGTGGGTGGAAGGTGGCCTGGAGCTGGAGCCTTGCACATTGGGGCAGGAGCTGCCTTGCTGCAGCTTTCCCCCTACCTGGCTGGGTACATGTTGCCTGACATGCATCCCACAGCTGCTACATTTCCCTATACTACCTGCTGTCTGGAGTGGTGCAGTGGGAGGAGGCGGGGAGGTGACCAGTACCTGAATGGCTGCAGCCACACCATGGGTAGCCCTACTGGGAAGCTGTGCATGTTGATCAGGGCTGTTGACAGTCATGGACTGCCCCAAGCAAGAGTGAGTAGGTCTTGGCTCCATGTGGAGCACTGCAGGGCAGCCATGGGCTGGAGGGGAGGAGGTGGATGGCTTTGCCCAAGCAAACTCTACATGTGCCCCATGTCCCCCACTCCCTTTCCTCACCCCCACCTGGCTCCTGGGACTTGGCCAGTGGGTAGCCCCCCACACGCATTTTCCCCCTCCCATCCTGCCTCACACACAGTATAAAGAGTGTGACTTTGTTTTGAGCTATTATGCAAATACCTGCTTATACACAACTCAAAATCACATACATCAGGACAAAATATTTGAAATAAAATTTAAATATTTTATAGTAGTTGTTTGATTTTTAATATATGATTTGTTTTTTATCTATAATTTGTTAAAATGTCTTCTGAAAGATTTTGTGTCTGGCCCTCAACAGCTCACCAGAGCTTGTTAAGTGGTCCTCTAGCCAAAATAATTGCCCTTCCCTGCTCTGAAGGAAGTAGTGTTCATCTTTTTTGAGCCAGAGGAAAGATTGCTGTGATAAGAAACAAGTGAAGAGCAAGCAAGAAAGCAGAAAATGGGCTCAGACCTTGGGATTGAAAGTACAGTTCTTTAAGAAAGTGAGAGAAGTAATAATTTATATTACGTTACCATAAGCTTAAGGCCCCAACTGAGATTGGAGTCCATTGTTAGACACTATACTTGTAGTAAGAGTCTTCGTTTCAAGCAGCATATGACCTAATTAGGCAAAGTATGGGAGAGGAGGAAGTAGTATTTATTAAAAAGAGAGTATGATTGCAACCAAACTTCTGGAGAGAAGGATTGAGGGGTTGTGGTGGATCAAAGACTAAATCAATAGGGTTGTGCTCTTCCAGAAAAAGCCAACAACAGCTTGGGATGTAGAAATAGAAGTAATATACCTAAGGCCAGTGGATCTTGAAGCATCTTGGAGGTGATCTGAGGCTGGGGTGGGGGGCTGAGTGCCCGCATGCGTGTGCCCCAGCCTAGCAGGTCAGTCCATGGGGGAGGGAAGGGGCGAGGGCTAGATTGAGGCCCCTGCAGTGAGGGACAGTACCAGAGGCAGGAGCAGGGGTAAATTGAGTGGGGCCCTGGCCAGGTGGGACTTAACTGCTGGGGAGGTGCGCCCCCCAAATAATTTTTTCTCCCTCTGCCTTAATTTGCCCCCCTTTCCCTCCCCACAGACTTACCTGCTGGGGGGGAGGAGGGGGTGGCAGCAGCAGTGCACAGTAGATCTTGGGGTACTTTTAAATGCCAAAGGTGATCTACTTAAAAAGGTTGGAGACCACTGCCTAAGACACTCTTCTCGGCACTTTTTGGGGTGTAATTTTGTGTTCGGATGTGGGTACTGTACTCTTCTTGGAGGTGGCCTCTTCATAATCATTCTTGAAATGAGCCCTTGGTACTACTGCGCTTCAGCTGTGCAAGTGCTCTGTAAGGGTATCAAAGTCCTGCACCTCATTTCCTTCCTTTTTGTGACTAGCTTTAAGTTTGGAAACCTTCACCCTGTGTCTGAAGATGGTCTGAAAACCATCTTGTTTGTTTAATTAATTATCATTTTATTTTAACTTGTTTTAACTTATTTAGAACTATATTACGGTTAAAATAACTTGATTGAAAGAGAAGAAATGTTAGTTTTTCTAAAGTAAAATGTTGAGGGTCCCTTCTAAAAGGCTGGAACTTAAAAGCCTAAAAGAGTGATATGTTGCATTATATAAAAGTGCAAGAATCCCTGCTCTGGTGCTTGATTTATAAAATACCTTTTTTCCCTTATGCATAGTGTCCAAAATACAGTTTTGCTGTATTTCTCATTCTTGGCCCAACTAATGGGCAAGCAGCCAGATCAGTGGCTTAGTACAAGTACTATAGATGAGAAGGGTGTTACATATGCTTTAAGTATGCAGTCAGTAATTGATAACTAGATTACTAGTAATTTTTGGGATGGGAGGGTCATTCTGTGAGTTGATTCAGCTTTTCGACTCTCCTTCAGAGAGGAACTGGATGCAGATGAGTATGAAGAAACCAAAAAAGAAACCCTAGAACAGCTGAGTGAGTTCAATGAATCACTGAAGAAGATCATGTCTGGAAATATGACTTTGGTAGATGAACTCAGCGGGATGCAGCTGGTAAGGTTGATTCATAAATCACTTTGATAACTTCCTAAAGGACTTCTGATGTATAAAACAGGGTGTAAGTATGTGCTAGTTTTTCTGACACCTAGATACTGTTATTTGTCTGTTTAATACATACATGCATATGCATCTGTGTATGCAAAATATATATTCCACTGAGTATCTATCAGTTGTATCCAGTTTTAAATTATAAGCTCACCCATTAAAGATTCAGGAGCATAAAATATATAGGAAGAGAGCTGTGTAACTTGATTGCAGACAACCATTTACTGGAGTATGGTAGGAACAATGTTGGGGGAGACCCTGCTATTTATGGTCAGGACAACACACTCAGTCCTACCTTATCTGTTGGGAGAAGGAAAGGTGCTGTCTCTCTAGATCTTGCCCAGCTACTCCCTACCAGGAGCAGAACCCTATGTGGAAGGAAGGGAAGTCGGTCACTTACCCAGCTTATATTTCTGGGTCCTGTCATGAGTGAGTACGTCTAGGCCCTTCTTCTGAAGATGCTTGGGAAACTGTTGATCATCAGGATAATGGTTATATAATTGCTATCAACATTGATACTCCACAGAAAGGTCTGAATAACAAAAATGAAACTGATCTATAGCTCACAAACTTCATCTGGCTGATGTTTAAGGGCATTATAAACAGGGATCCTGGTTTTCCCTGATAAAACATTGCAAATTCTGTGATTAAAACCCCCGAAATCTGTGATTAAAATCCCCCAGTCCTGCTCGTGCCCCTTGCCTCCCACCCATAACCCCCTGCCATCTCCAGCTTTGCTGGAGGGGACCTCCAGCTGCCAGGGCTATGGGGCCAGGGATCCAGGTCCACAGCCACTTGCCCCAAGCAGGAGGCGGTGCCTGCTGCAGTGGAGCAGAGCCTGGAGCCTGGCTCCCCCCTGTTGCCTGCCTACTGCGGCCTCAGGTGAGGAGGCAGCTCCCCCTGCTGCATGCACTCCTGGGGGCCAGGAGGGACCTGTGCCCCCCAGATCTGTATATGGGGTGGGTGCAGGCTTCCAGTTGCGGGCTTAGGCTTCCCGCCCTGCTGCCCTCCCCTGGGGCTTTCACAGTCTGGTGGGTATGACCCGGCAGAGCAGGGCCATGCGGCAAATCTGTTTGTCACTGCGAGCCCCGCACTGCCCTGGCAACGCATCCCCTGTGTGCATGGCAGCAGTGAGGGGCACAACCCTGCGCTTCCACCTCCACTGCTGCCATGCAGGCAGTGGATGAGTCAAGGTGAGAGACTTCACCACCTAAGAACTGCCTGCCCAGAGGAGCTTTCCATCTACTCTCTCCTCTGTGAAATCCTGTGACATACGAACTTTCATTTCTACCCAGGAGAACTTTTAGTCTTTTCTCCAGTGCCTGATGAAGGGTGTTTGTGCCAAAAGCTTGCAATTAAAGAATTTTTCTTGCAAAAATCTTGTTGGTCTAATAAAAGATATCACCTCTACCATGAGCCCTGATCATAAGAACTTGACATTTTAATTTCTGCTACCGAGGAACTCAGAAGTGTTTTCTACTTCAATTAGCCAGTGAATTTTAAAAGTCCTGCTTTTTGGGTTATGTTTTTCCCCCAATCTTGTGCATGGATATGCAAACAAAAAGCTGAATGTCTCTTGTCAGCTGCAGCAGAGGATAGTGAGGATGCTCTCTAGCCCTTGTAAAACCAGTGTAATGTGATTGGTTCATAGCATTTGCTCTAGCTGTGCTCATTCTTTTGCTTGTTTCCTTTTTTCCAGGCTATACAAGCTGCCATCAGCCAGGCTTTTAAAACTCCAGAAGTCATTAGAATGTTTGCAAAGAAACAGCCAAGGCAATTACGGACAAGGCTGGCTGAGGTAGGTTTGTTTGCTCCAGTAGGTTTATTTGTTGCAGTTGGTTAGATTATTGCCTTTCCAATCTGCACAAATTAACATTGCCTCTGAATTTTATATTGACACCAGCGAGAGACAGAGTATTGTCTGTTATCTTTCAGAATCTGGTCATACTCAAACTGTTACTTCATTCTTAGGGGCAGAAACTAAAATTTTAGGTAGCATTTTCTACCTCCCTCCCCTACACACAAATCTGGCAACCAGTAGTGAATTGGAATGCAGAAGCATTGACAGTTTCTCAGATAAAAAAACCGGAAGAAGACCATGACACTGAAACCTGATTGGGGTGCTGGATGGTGCACTAATCTTACCTCTTCAGAAATCTGTATTCAAATTCCAAGTATGGCACAAGTAAGATGAAGTGTAACATTCTTATCCTAGGTTTTAGTGGATGTTGGTTTTCAGAACATGGCCCTACATCTTAACAGTAATGGCTGTCACTTTCCAGAAGAGCTCTAAGATGGGGACAGCCATGCGTGCTAAGGTTAGGATTGAAAAGTATTTTCAGAGCCGTATGAGGAAGAGTTAGCAAATTTTATACTGCCCAGATTTTAGTTCCTTAATTTCACAAGTATTTTGTATACTATATTATTTCACAGAATTTTATTTTATTTTTTTAAAGAATCCGTTTGTTGGCTCTTTAGTCTCTTCCAATGTTTTATACAGTTGGATTTACTTTGTATAGATGGACCGAGACCTTATGGTTGGGAAACTGGGACGAGACCTCTACACGCAACAGAAGGTGGAAATCCTAACTGCCCTCAGGAAGCTCGGAGAGAAGGTACAAGTACTGGGCTTGGTAGCTGTCATTCGTTGAACTATGAAGCAGCAATAAACCAGATAATTATTTTAGCTGAAACGTAATTTTTATTTACATGTGTGCATGAAATATAACGCATTTATAGCATGGAAATCAAAAACAAGCCTCATGGTACAAAATATATATTATGTTTCAATACTACCACCCCTTCCAAAGAGTATACATTAGTGAGCACAGCAAATAATACTGAGTGTGTATATAGACCCTTTAATTTGTGGTTAATTACTACCTTGCTCTTTGCTGTGTCACCTGAGTGCATCATGTATAAGTACCATCAATTTGTACCTGTTTATAACAAGCTACAAGACTAGTCTCCTCCTTATTAACTGCCTGTTCATCCATCTGGAAGGAAATATTAAAGGTCAAACCCACATTAAGTCTTGCCCCACTTCTGAAAGGTAGGCATTATCCCCATTAGACAAGTGAGCAAAGTTAATTGAGAGGTGAAGTTACCTGCTGAGGTTTGCCTTCTTGAGTCATGGAAATTCTGGAGCTCTGGCTAATCCCTTGCTTTAACCACTAGAGGGAGGAAGGGAAGCAAATAATTCTTTTTGTTGCCAGCCTGTGAAGTAAATGGTCCCTCTATAGCTATATGGTTTGTTCTGTTTAATAACCTGTATATCAGCTTTCCAGAAGGAGTGGTTTCCCCTGAGAGTGCCATCCAGTCTCATAGTATCACATACACAATAGCTTTTAAGTGACTCATATTTTTTGCTGCTCTGTTACTTGAATAATAATTCATTTGTTGTTTTCTTTTAATAGCACTCTGGTTTTAGAAATCTCATATGAACTCCAGTATCTTAGGCAGCCTTATTTACAGTTATTACAGCTACTTTCCTCCAATATAATTCTATTGCTGAAGTTTCCCAGAATATTTTAATGCTTAGAAAGATTTTGAAGAAAGGCATGGAAGAGTTACTTTAAGCCTCTAATATGTTACTACAATGCAAGGTAGCCTTAATTACATGCATTTTAAATAATAAACTTTTTTAACATCCTGAGGCATGTTTATCATTATTTTTCCTGCAAGAGTCAGTAACACCACTTTCTAATAAAACAAAATGAGCTTCTCTCCTTACAGTTTTTTTAGCTATTAAGTCCCACATACTCTAGAAATACAAATACATCGCATTTTTATCTGACCTAGAAAGACAGTTGAGTTGCATCCTTTAAGTTGTGAGGAAAAACTACAGAACCATTTGTCAGCTATTTCTGCCTGTATATCTGATGTGCTAACTATGTATATACGAATGGAATCTAAAAAATATGAGTAAATGTTACATGCCTACTTAAAAGTTTCCATAAAATATTTGCTGAGTACAGCTCCGGACAGGGAGCTGAGAGGATTGAACTCCAGACAAACTAGTTTCATTGGCACTATGAACAGGGAGGTGTTTTGTGTGCTATCAGCAATCCCTTGCAGTCAAGGGTGATTGTCTTCTGCAGTTGTCCGATCTGTGGGTCCAAAGATGGCTGGCGAGGCCTATCTGGGATCAATAGATGTAGCTTGGGCACATGTTTCTGTGCGGGTTGGGTGCTTCTGAGTTCCTGAATCAGTCTGTGACACACTGTTACTGCTGCTCCCACTTTTCCGTCTCCTGTTGTCATCATAAGGTTTCATAGTACTGAGATCCTTGCAGCAGACTTTTCCTTAATTTGGGGTGGTCCTGGGCGATAGTCTCCCACGAGTTGATGTCCATGCTGTGTTTTTTCAAGTTGGTCTTGAAGATATCTTTTGAAGCACTTTCTCTGCCCTCGTCTTGAGCGTTCGCCTTGACTGAGCCAGGAGAATAGAACTTGCTTCAGGAATCTGGCCTCGGACATTCGGATGATGTGACCAGCTCAGCAAGGTTGACGTTGCATGATCATCGCCTTAATGCTCGTGGTGTTTGCTTGTGAGAGGACATTAACCATGGCGTGTCTGTCTTCCCACTGGATTCGAAGGATCCTCTGCAGGCAGCATTGATGGTAGTATTTAAGCAGCTTGAGATATCTCCTGTATATTGTCCAGGTTTCAGCTCCATACAGTAAGGTGGGGATCCTGACTGCTTGATAAACCATGAGCTTGGTTTCAGATTTGATATTGTAATCTTTGAACACCCATTTCCGAAGGCATCCGAAGGCTGCACTTCTATTTTTGAGACAACGTTGGATTTCTTCATCAGTGTCAGCCTTCTGCAAGGCTTCTGAAGTACAAGAAATATTCAGTGTTTTCCAGAGTATGACTATGAATCTGAATTACTGGAGATGGGGACTGCTCGTTGAAAGCTTGTTGATGGAGGACTTTAGTCTTCTGAATGTTAAGTATCAGTCCCATTTTTTGGGATGCCTCGGTAAAGATTTTCACAATTGCCTGAAGGTCAGCAAGCACACACTACAGCATTATCAGCATATTGGAGCTTGATGATTGACTGAGGTCAGGGTCGTTTTGGTTTTGTCTCAGAATCATCTGAGAGAAAACAGCTTACCATCCGTTCAGTAGTTTAGTTCCACTCTGACTGGAAGCTTGTTAGTGGCCAGATGTAGCATCATGGTAAGCAATACTGAGAAGTGTTGGAGTGATGCAGCCTTCCTTAAATCATAGAAATTAAGGGCTGGAAGGAATTTCGAAAGATCATAGAGTCCAACCCCCTGCTCTGGGCAGGAATACTGCTGGGATCAAATGATTCCATCAAGGTGTCTGTCCAGTCTCCTCTTGAAGACTTCCAAGGTTGGGGACTGCACCCCCTCTTTGGGAAGTCTATTCCAGATTCTAATCACCCTTACCATAAGGAGTTCTTCCTTGCAACCTGAAACCATCCTTTAACAGTTTACGGCCATTGCTCCTTGTTCTCCCCTGGGGTGCCCTAGTGAACAGCTTTTTTTTCTCAGCTCCTGATATTTACCCGTTACATACTTATACTTATAGACAGCTACCAAGTCCCCCTTCAGTCTTCTCTTCCCCAGGCTGAACAACCCCAGATCTCTTAGTCTTTCCTTATAAGATTTGTCCTCCAGGGCCTTAATCATTCTTGTGGCCCTTCTCTGGACCCTTTGAAGATTCTCCATGTCTTTTTTGATGTGCGGCTCCCAGAACTGGACACAGTACTCCAGCTGGGGTCTCACCAACGCCAGGTAGAGAGAAAGTATTGCTTCTTTAGCTCCGCTTGTGACGTGTCGGCTAATGCATCCCAGTGTGCTGTCAGCTCTGACTACAGCACTGCGCTGGTGGCTCATGTTCATCCTGTGATCAGTCATAACCCTGAGGTCTCCCTTTCAGTCTTCGTGCTGGCCAGATAATCTCCTCCTAACCTATATTCATGTCACTAGTTACTTCTCCCCAGGTGAAGTACTCTGCATTTATCCTTATTAAACTGCATCCGGTTCCACTCCATCCACCTTTCCAGCTTGTCCAGGTCCGCTTGGCACATACTATTCTCTAGCATGATTGCTTTTTCCAATAACTTAGTATCGTCTGCAAACTTGGCCAGCCTGCTGTCATCTGTGGACATCCTCATCTAAATCGTTGATAAAGATGTTGAACAGCAGAGGGCCAAGAGCCAAACCCTGCAGGACACTTCCCACCAAGACGATACAGACCAGTCTACTAACACTCTCTGGGTTCAACCCCTCAACCAATTCCCAACCCACCTGACTCTACTTTGTCAACCCATAATTCCCCAGTTTTTTTGTATAAGAGCATCATGGAAGACCATATCAAAGGCCTTTTTAAAATCCAAGTATATGACATCAACCACGTCTCCTACATCTAAGTGGTTCATTACTTGATCATAGAAGGAGACTAGGTTGGTCAGACATGACCTGCTCACAATGAAACCATGTTGGCTATCCTTCAGCATCATGCCTTCTGCCAGACTCTCATAAATGGACTTCTTGATGATTTTTTCCAAAATTCTACCCAGTATCGAGGTAAAACTGACTGGCCTATAGTTTCCCAGATCCTCCCTCCTCCCTTACTTAAAGATTGACACCATATTGGCCCTTTTCCAGCCTTCCGGGACCTTTCCCAAGCACCACAAATCTTCAAATACCTTTGTCAACAGTCCCACAATGAATCTGCCAATTCCCTCAGCACTCTTGGGTGTAGTCTGTCTGATCCTGCTGACTTTAAGACATTTGGCTGCTCTAGGTGCTCCCTCACCAATTCAACACTGACCATTGGTTGTCAATCGCCGCCCCCCAGTATCCGACCGGGGAGGCAACCACCATTTGCATGCAGGAACACCGATGCAAAGTAGAATTCATTAGAGAATTCACCTTGCTCCTGACTGTCTGTTATCAGCTGTCTTGTCCCATTCTGCAAGGGCCCAGCTTAACTCCCATTTTAACCTCGAAGGGATCTGTAATAGAACCGTTACTGAGAATGGTTATTGAGATAGATGATTTTTTTTTTTTTTGGCGAGTATACAGGAAAAAGGGCTGAACATCTGTGAGCACAATGCACTAAACTTAAGGATCCAGGAGGCTCCTTTGTTTCGTATGGATTCAAATTATGTTTAGAACCATCTAAGATGCCAGTTGGCTACAGCAGCGATTAACAAAAGTATAGGTGGAACCTTAGCGATTTAATCAAGTCTTATAGGAAATAAACAGAAATCTGAAGTACGTTTTTGGGTGGCTGAGGAATGCTAGAGGAGGAAACGATTTCCAGTCCTGAGCTTTAAAAGACATTTTGTAGTTTAAGTCCTCCATTTGGTATGATTTTAGGTGTTGTGTTGAAATGCTCTGAAAGTGTACAGGAATTTCCAGGGTGTGGAAGACTGGACAGAATAGTAATGCTCAGTGTCTTTGCAGTTCTAACCTCAGATAGCGGTGATCGACTATGAAGCATTGGCTAAATCACTTGTTCTCTCTTAGTATCTTTAAAATAATGATGAACCTACATCACAGAGGGGCTATGAGGATTAGTTAAATGTTTGCACATTGCTTTGAAATGAAGTGCAGCGTAAGGGCTAAGCATGTTTCAGTGCTATGGTTGGTCAATGCTGGGGTTGAAATGGAACTAAAAACTTAATTGTACAGCAGGGCTAAGTTATGTAATTGTTTCACTTGAACTTAACAGGGTGTGCTTCTAGTTAGTCACCAGTGTTGACTTCGTTTACCCAGTACCATAGCAAGGAAGTTTGCCTAGGGCAAGCCCACAGCAGCACCTTGTCCTTGCCCCATGCACAGACCCAGGGGGCACACGCCTCCCCCCATGCTTGCCCGGGAGTGCACACAGCAATGGGAGCCACCCTACCACTTCCCCCCATAACTGCTCACAGCTCTGTCCTGCACCCTGCCCAGCTGGGCAGCACCTATTGACGCCCCTTCACTTCAGTGCATGGGCAGTTACCCCACTCCCCCTCCCTTCACCCCCTCCGCCTTGCTAAGGTACTGTGTTTACCCGATATTTTGTATATATTTTCAAGAATTAAAGTCTGGAAAGAAGCCTGAAATGTTTCAAAGGGAATCTTGCTCTCCCCCATTACTTTCCTGACTTGTATCCAATGTTTCTCTTCTTCAGCTAATTAAGTATTTCATGAACACTCGGTTTTTGCCATTGGCATAAATCAGCCTTGTCAGTTTATTAAAAAGAGCTGTGCGCATTGTGCCTCGTGTATTGTCTTGGAAGTTTTCTCTGTATAAACTGTCACTTGGAAAGTTTTTTTTCCCCCCCTTTTTAAATCAAAATATAGAGCCTTTCCAGACTTATCTGATTATAAGTACTGTTTCTGGGTCAATTTTCTAGGCCCAGTCTTCTATTCCATAAGTACCAAGGTGCTGTGAATTCTTCAGAGGGCAAGGAAAATCCTGGAGAAAGCATTGCCTCTGGTTGATTTAACAGTAACATAATATAGAGAGGACTCTGAAAGGAACTCTGAACAGTCATCCTCTTCCAGGAGAATTGTGGCTCTATATATGTTGGTCCTTGAGGCTGGTAGATGAATAGGGATGAAAACAGAGAGCATCTTAAGTGTTCCAAAATAAAGGCATCATACTTCATTTTTGGGACAAATTGATAATATGATGATAGTTAACAGTTTGAGAGGTTGGTATCTAGAGCATCTGTTTGTGTTTTGTTATTTTAAAAATATATTGCTTTAGAGGGTTACTAAATGGGAAGCGAGTCTCAACTGAATTTTCTGGCTTTCCCAACTTCCTGTTATTACTTCATTATCATAGGCGCTTAATATCACATCTCTAGCACTATCACCCTAGTGCCTTGCATATGAGCCAAAATACATATACATAGAACTAGAAGGTTTTCAGGATTATTATGGGGACAGCTCTAGGACATATGGGGTCTTTTTAGGTGGACAGAAAATGTTCACAGCTATGAAAATTAATTTGGAACCTTTCACTAGCACTTTAATCTGCATTCACATCAGACAGATAATGCTATCATTTTAAAAGCAGAGCAGATTTGCAAGTTGTACATCCCGAAATCTTTCATATAAGCACAGGGATGGATGGATGGACTATATCCTTAAAAAGCAAAAAAAAAAGGTGCAGTTAAGGTATCCAGTTCACAACTGCATCTCTCTCTTGATTTAGCTGACTGCAGATGATGAGACTTTCCTGTCAAGCAATGCAGGTGCAGCCCTCAGCCAGTTTGAAAGAGTCTCTAGTGATCTTGGTAAGTCTTTTCATAGTCTTGACATGCAGATATCTTAACATCCTCACACACTAGTGAAAAAATGTCTGTGAGAGTCCTGATACAAAAGGGAAAATGTGAACCAAATATTCATGCCATTAAAAAAAAAAGTATGATGTACACTTCCTACTAGAGTATAAGTAGAGGTAGTTAAACACTATGCCAAAATTAAAGCAAAGTGGAGAAATTTTTACATGGACTAAACCATTGAGTGTCCCACTTACGGTGGAGGCTTTGGAGAACTACAGTATATCTAATAAAAAGGGGCAGAATTTTTAGCGTTAAAGTTGTTTGGGGTTTCTAGTTCTCCAGAACTCCTGAAAGGAGCTCCTTTCCCTGGGCCTAGAGATTATGTGGGCAATACTAACAATAGTAAAAGGCTTTTTCTGCCACCATTCTCATAATCTAGCAGCAAAACTGATAGTACATTTAAGATGCAGCAAATGGTGCATATCTATGTTCTTGTCTAGTATTTCATCTAGACCTGTATTGGAGAGGAAAAAAGGAACCCTACTGAACAAAATTTTGATATAAATTTTCCTCAAACTAAAAAAGAGAAGCATTTACCATAAACCTCTCTTCTCATTTCCCTCTTTTGTCATACACTTGCTTCCAGTGGAGCAGGAGCAATCAATGTGGGGCAGGTGCATGAGGGACCAGGTCAGGCCAATGCATGAGCATGAATTTGAATCCTGAGTCCTAGCCTTAGAATGATTATTTGTGGCTGTAGTATAAAGGTCCTGGGAAAGTTGGACAGTTGTACTCCAGGTATATTTGTCCCTGAAGCTCTTCTCATGGCCACATTTTTTTCAGGTCCTTGTATAATTAATTAGTCCAAGCCAGAATCTAATGCCTCTCTAACCAGTTCCATGCAAAATGCTTTTTGTTTTCAATGTACAAGCTTAATTCCTTGCCCCCAGCCTACTCTTGTGCTATTTTGTCTTATATAAAATACCACAAAATAACCTCTCAGAAACACATTCCCTGCTAATGTTGTATGTTTTTTCTCTATCTCCTCATCTCCATTCCAGTTTAAAAACAATCTGTTTTCTGTTTGCTTCCCTAGGATCTGGGGACAAAGTCTTTGCTCTGGCAAGTGTTGAAGTAGAAAAAGCAAAACAGTGAAGAGGTGTGTGGGACTAGAGTTTCTCCTGTTGGACTTTTACTGTGTTGTTCTTTTCTTTTTTTTTTCTCATGAGACTCTCTTGTAAATTGTTGCGCAAAAAAAAAGACCCTGAAACCTCATGATCTTAACTACGAGATAACATGAAGTGACCAGACATAAAGTGCACTTTGGAGACCTGAGTGTCTGCCCTCCTCCGCAGTATACGTACTGAGGCTAAACACTAAGTGGTACTTTAAAAACTAAACAAGAAAAAGTGATCTTACTCTGATTGTTGTCTTTGAAAAAAATAGATTGTTTTCCACTTTTTTTCAGCGTGTATTTCTCTAACTATTAAAGTACCATCTTTTTGCATATGATGGCAGTGAGCAGCTTTTTCCGAAACACAGGATCTCAACAAATGGATCAATCTACAAATAGCTCTTGGGCTTGTTTGTAAAGTCCTGTTTTGTTTTTAATTTGTTTGGAATCTGAGCAGTGTAGTCACAAACCCATTGTATCTGTTTAAAAATGGCAGTGTTTGTTTGTTTGGAACCCCGTCTTCCTACAAGCTGTCTCCAAAACTCCGGAGTGAGACTCTGCACAAAACATCAGTGCCTGCCTGGTCTGAACATGAATGAATGCCATTGTATCTTGGTCTTGATTGGCAAACAATAGAAGCCCTGTTGGAAATCTTCTGGAGTAATTTAACCTCATGTATTGAAATGACAGGGGAACATTAGGAAATGGCAAAGAGAGGCCCGTTGTGTGACCTCTTCCTGTACCCCAGGCTGTATACTCTACAAGGTACCATTATGTTCCCAGATTTCTAGGGCAGCGTGAAATATAGTGCAAGCTGAAACAAACCAATAAAAAGACCCCATCATCAGCCTGATCTACATTATAACTGAGCCAGAGGTCTCTGTTGCAACCCTGTTGTCTCCTGACCTGGATATGAGATTAGTTAAGTTCTTTTGTATATGGGGCCTCTCTCTTCCTAAGACGAAACCTTGCACTGTCCAGGTTTTTTGCTTGGGTCTGGAACTACAATTAGGTTTTTGAGACACTACAACTCTTGTTGTATGGCAACTAGGTTACTGACTAATAGGTAGTAATGCCACCAGGACCTTAGATTTGCTTTTTATGGATTGGAGGTGGTTGTTTTGTGGCTCAAATGGAAGAGAATGTGCATAGTACTTTAGACTTGCATTTAATTAATCGTTTTGGTAATGTATCTTCACGCACAGGGATATCATTCCAACTTGTACAGTACAGGCAGCATTACTCTCTAGCTCAGTGTTTATGAAAGCCTTGTGTCAAAAGGCTATTTTTTTACTGGGGAAGCTTGCTCAGCTGCTTATTGGAGGTCAAATTTCTGCTTTGCTCAGTTCTGCGTGCTAGTCTGATTGTACCAAGGGCTGTGAATGCTTCCCTAACAGCCATTCATGCTGGTAAATGTTACCCTCTCTTTTTAGCATTGTTTATATCTGTACCTTTTCTCTAGCCATAAGGGACATTTCTCAGATGTATACTTCAGAGTTCTACATCAGTTAGGAAAATCAGTCCTTTCCCTGCACAGAAGAAAGTAAGCTTGTCAGTCCATTGCCTGTGTTGGGGGGAGAGAGAGTCGGTCGTCCTGTCTTCAACCTGGAAGCAAGAATTACAGGGTTCCAAAGCAAGAATTGCAGAGTACTGCAGTATGTCTGTTTGGGAATGTGTGTATTAACATCTGTGTGGGCCAGAAGTGGTAATATGATAAATTTGCCTCTTTTCCTCTGCACAAAGTGTATCCAGACAGTTGATGTCTTCATTGCTGTTTTCATCTTCACTAGATGTTTTAGATATGATTTATCCCTTCCTTTTTTGAAAGCTTTCAATGTGGAGGAAGCATTATGAAGTATCTTTGGCAAATGGAACAGTTGGCTAAGGGTGGCGTGACATGTACTATTATTATACGGTACCCCACAGAGAATGCATGACTTTAGAAATCTAATGTGTTCATGAGTCACAGATGCAGTCAGTCTTCATGTTAACAAGCTGCCTAACAGAGGCAGAAATTTGGTTAAAAAGTTCCTCTAGATTACTTAGAAAATTTACATATACCAAAATGATCTTTCCAAAAGATAAAGTAAATTTCTTCCTTGATTTGGTAAAGTTGTATATAAAACAGAATAATTGAATGCTGCAGTGACTGCTGCTTATGCTATAGCAGATTAAAATTATCAGGAAGGAAGAAATAAAGATCAACCATTGTATAGTTGAGGTGACTTTCTCCAAGATCTAGGAGAATGAGATGTTAAAGCAGTGTTTTGACTAGTGGCTTTACAGAGGTGTGTGGCTATTCAGATAGGGTGTGTTACTGCAGAAGGAGTATTCTTTATTTGTTCCAAAGTTTTGTTGGGCAGGGAAGTAAAGGCGATTTTTCTGAAATCCCCTTAACTCTTTAACTAGAGCTAGTTGCTGTGGCCTTGATAGTTTATACTGTCTGAATGTTGTTTCATTACATTTATCTGGTTGCTTTTTGCACATAAAATATAAGTATTTCTGTGGGAACCAGTTTTCCTGGGAAGAGGAAAATGGTAATATAAGATGAGCAAAAATCATGTTTTCTCAGTAAACTAGATCCTTATTTTGTATAAATACCATTTATTTGTAATAACAATAAGGAAAGACATATGTTGACAAAAAGGTACATAGAACTGTTTCTAAATTAGTACAGGTTCTGGAACATCAGCTGTCTTTATGCCAGTGTGTGTGGGGTTTTTTTGTTTTTGTTTTTAATTCACCATTATGATCAAGGTACTAGAAGGGTAAACTGGCACAATTCCATTTACATAAATGGAGTTGTACCTGCATTCACAAACATTGAATTTGACCCAGTGGCTCTCTCTCTGATTAATTTTGTAGAGCAGTAGTTGTACTTAAAATATGTTTTATTACTTTATGTCCAGATTAGAGGCTTGGGAGAAAGTGTTATGTGGGTTGTGTTTGTGTTGTTTTGGTTTGTTTTGTCTTTAAAAATGTACATATACCATCCAATACAGTGTTGAAAACCTGAATGCTACATAATAGAGCCCTGTTATGGGACTAAATAGTGACATCACTTATACTGTAATTAGAAAACAAAAAGTGGACCAGTCTAGCGGCAAGTTAGATAGTGGAAGAAGGGTAAAATAAATGAAGTTTTATCTAATTCTTCTCATTGTAAACTAAGGTTTCAGTACAAAACCAGGAAGAAATTTTAAAAATATTTGATAGTTTTCCTCTTTATAAGCCACTGCTCAGCTGGGAAAAAATAAAAATATAGATGCAAAGGAGTCCTTCTCTTTCATCAGCGAGGCATTCTGGACTTAAGAATTTTAGAGAAGCTTTTATTTAGGTGGGATCCTTTGTCTATTATCACAATTGACTCTGTTTTTGCTTTCTGGGGCAGTATTATCTTCACTTAGACAAAGACTGGCTACAGCTTCATAGCTGAGAGGACAGCTTATTAAAGGGCATTATAGCCAGTCTAAAATTATTGAAAACAAAACAGCCCATGGGGACTTTAACCTCCTCCTCCTTTTTTTCTCTTTTACTCTGCTCATTACTGGCACTAAGTAACATTTCTCCTCTGCCTGAAACGCTTGTAGCATTAATATGTAAATGAAATCTTTTAGCATTCCCACAGATCCCAGTGAGCTTACTGTACAGCAGTATGGAAATTACTTTTCTTTCTCTGCAGTTCTAGAAAGGTGGTGTTAACTGTTAGAAGAACTGCTTTTTATAGTTTAATTGATTTGTGGGTTTCTCAGAGTCACCATACTGCAAGATGTTGCAAAATTGCTGTAAAAATTATCCCCCTTTCTGTGTAGTGCATTTTTGTGTCAAGTATATGAGAACACAAGTGATTCTTTATTTTTAATTAATACTGTTCATAGATTGTCTGCTACTAGAGGGATTCGTAACTTAAGAGATCAGCCGTATTCTGGAAAACTTAGTGAAATCTTGACATTCCTGCAAATATGATTAGAAGGGTTGTGATTGTCACTGAACTTGTTCAGCAGAAACATTGTGTTTTTATTCTAAAGCATTTTGATGCATGTGTCTGGATATAAGTCCTCCCAGTTCAAAAATAATATGGTAGAAATTGCAGCAACAAAATGATTTATCATTGTCATTCATTATATTATTTTCATAATATTTATTTATCGCACCATTTACACTACATTATAACAAATACATAATGTAGCAATATGATAAGTATACAATGATCATTGTAATAATTAATAATTATACAGTTATTCTGGTGGGTGATAAGGGCAAAGAGGCTTTCATGGGGACGAACGAGGCATATGGGCTTGCTCTTTGTTTTCCTTTCAGGAAGTTCCCTCTTGGGATTTAGGAAGGTGAAGTTGGGGTGGATGCCAAAAATGACTAATCTCAACTGCCAAAGTAGTTTGGAGATTCTGCACAGAAGGCAGACATGTCTAGTCATATTTTGGGAGGGGTCAAAGTACGTACCTTAACCGTGACATTAGGTCCTAGCTTCAAAATGCCTTGGCCATGGATGTGTCTTCTTTTATAAAATCACTAGCAGTATGGAGCTATTAATATATGTTACAATAAAGGCTTCTTTAACGTAACCTAATTTTCAGTGGTTCCGTGGTTAGTCACGTCTGAGAGCTGGCAAGCTAATCCATGTTGCATGTTAAGAGTGTGCCATTATACCTAGCCATCCTGCTGTTGTGCCTCCACTGGTAGCTTACGCCCAATGAGTCTGCACATTGTGAAAAACAAACTGACCCATATTTTATTATTGTGGCAGTCATTTGCTCAGGAGAAAAAATCTTAACAATAAATCAGTTTCCAGAGAAAGACATGATTTTTGTGGTTAATACACAGGATTAAGACTCAGGAGATCTGCTGTCAAGTCAACTCAGACAGATCACTGGGTGTCGCTTCCCCTCCCCCCCCCTTCCATAAAATGAGGATTGTGGTACTTCTTTGTCTAATGTCAGGAGGCTAAGTCACTGTAAACTGCTTTG